GCCCGCGGCCAGGACGGGCTGTGGGATGCGGACAGCGACGGCAGCGACGGGGGAGATGCGGCCCCGGTGAGTACCCGGGCCCCGGTTATTATCTTTATAAAAGTAAAGCTTTAAAGTGGTTTCCTTCTGTGCGTAGGTTTCTCCCCCCCATTTTTGACCTCTGGCTGTCAGTGTCCCACTTCATTTTACCCTTTCACTGAAATTTTAAGTTCTTTATTGAGTCTCTTCATTACTGTTTATATTATTGGAAAATTTCATAGAGTTCTTTTCATAGAGTTAATGCCAGAGTAAGTTTTGTAAAGCAAGCTGGGCCTGTATGGACAGATTTTGCTGTTGATACATGACCACCTCAATTTATATGGTCTTAGGATTGTTACTATTATATCAAAGCACTTAAAAATAATTTAATCAGTTTAGAGATTCCCTAAGCCTGGGAGCTCTCTTGCAGACATATAACTGTATGATGGAGAGTAACTGGCTTTTCTTTCTGTAGGATGGATACTCCCACCTATCAGCCTATGAAAGGAAAAGACTCAAGAACATTACAGAAAATGCTAAATTCTTTGCTGCTCTAAAGCTGCATGAGGTTTGTACAGGGTATAAATAGCATCGAAATGCTCTTTCCAGGTGTCATAATTGCACTGTCATCCCTCCTGGTGTGAAACCCTTTCCTCACTGGGGTAGCTGCGTATGAGGAAAGCCATGAAAATCACAGAATCCTGGAATGTTTGGAAAGGACCTTAAAGGCCCTCTGGTTCCACCTCCTGCCATGGGCAGAGTCACCTTCCATAGTCACCAGGGTTCTCCAAGCCCCATCCAGCCTGGCCTGGAGCATTTATGGGATGGGGCAACCACAGTTTCTTTCTTATTTTTATAAATAATTGCAGTAAGTTCATTGCTGCCTCGAGATAATTGTATTTTATACAGGTTAATTCTTTATGCTCATTATCTATAATTAATCTCGTTTTTCTCTTTTAAGTCAGCTGCAAGACTTGAACAACTTACAACTAAAAGGCGATCTTATGTCACTAAAAGGTACAGTAACAGTAGATGAGATTTATATCCTCAGTTCTTCATTGTGGGATGAAAACAAATGTTGGGAAAAGGTGGGAGCAAAAAAGAGAGGGTGTGACCAAGGTGCAAGGGAGAGGGTGAGCAGTGGAGGAGAAGACATTAGCCGTGCCAGAACAGTGCCAGGTCGAGCAGAAAATGAGCTGAAGCCCAAATAAAGAGCAAGCTGTGTGATGGGAGAGGGTGGGAGAGGCCTGGTGAGTGAATGGCTGGGTGGATAATGAATGAGGAGAGCCGGGAAAGGAAGCGCCCGGGTGGGATGTACCCCAGGGAAAACAGGGGTGGCACCTGTGTGTGCTTTGCAAAGTGCTTGTTTGGGGCAGGAAAAGCAGCCCATTCCTCCTGCTGGGGCCAGCATGGGCTGGTGTCAGTCGTGTCCCAGCTGTGCCCTTGGCTCTGTCCCTAAAGGCAGGGCTCTGTAACTGAGATGTTCCCATTGTTCCAGAGCCAAGCCTAAAAAGGTGGAGGACGAGCCGGCCCGGCGGCGATCCAGGCGCCTGCTCCGGGTGGAGCCGCTGGACATTCCCCTGCTGGAGACGTTCGCCCAGCCAGCAGCAGAGGAATATGTGAGATGGGGAAGGGCTGCAGGAGGGCTGGGGGCAGCAGCTTTCTAAAAGCACTGCTGGTGACACTGATGGGTGGCACTGGGCGTTGCAGACCCTGAGGCAGTTGGGAAGTGGTGACACAGGGACAGGAAGGAAGGGTCAGTTCTGTCACCTCGAGCAGGTGGCACGGTCTCACCACGAGCCAGGCAGTGCTCTGTGGCCCAGGCTGATGACATGGTGCAGCTTGGGACCCACAGAAGGCTCCTGAGATAAAACATTCCACATCAGCAGCCCATGGAGCTGAGCAGCCTTAAATCCAAAGGTTTATTACTTTGGTTTTTATTTCACTGTAACTTCTGACCTGGCTTTATTTTCCTGGGTAATATTTCCCATCTCTTTGAAGCAGTGATGGAGCAACAAGTAAAAGCTATGTTGTTCTGAGAGGATAGGAATTTAAATCTTCCATGGAGCTGTAGAATAGATTTGAATCCATAGTAAAGGTCTTGCTGGATTATCAGGAGAGGAGGAAACCTGGGGAGGCAGTTTGTTTGTGCTGCCAGTGAAATTCTCTTCATCTTTTTAATAAGGTTATGATGTCACCTTCTGTTTTTACTGTTTATTTCCTGTCCTGTTGTAGGCATCTGTTCTCAGAATGTCTGGTGTGGGGAAAGTCCCAATTCACCTTGTCTGTGGTTTTAGTTGGTTTGAGTTACAAAAACTGCCAATGTCATCCCAGCCTCAGGTTCCTGTCGGACCTTTGCCCATGGTTCCAGAGGATCAGGCAGAGAACAGTAAATGGACAGAGGCCTTACTGGGCACGTGGATGAGGATAAGTGAGGTATTATTGGTTTAATCAGTCATTTTTGGATAATGCCGTTTCAGTTGGGCTCTGATTTTGATTAAATATCTCCTTTGTGTCTGTAGCTGAAAGCAGAATGTGCTGACCGGGGCACACCTGACATAAAGAGGTAACAGCTCTGAAAACAGCAGCCAGAACTGCGGGTTCTGGGTCCTCCTTCCTTCCCTAGTGAGCGTTCTGCTGGTTGTCATTTTGGTTTTCCAGGTACCAGGAGAGCCTGAGCAGCATGGTGCTGAGCGAGGAGAACATCAGGAAGGTGGTGAAAGCCCGGGTGTGTTCCATGGCCATCCACCCTTCTGAGAGCACCATCCTTGTGGCAGCTGGAGACAAGTTGGGGCACATTGGCCTCTGGAATGTGGTGAGTGGTTGATGTGCTCCCCATCTGAGCAGCTGTGTGGTTCAGGACAGCTGCAGGTGGGGCACAGCCTGGGGTGCCAATTTGTCAGGCTCATGAGAGTGTTTTAGGTTTTTCCATTCTTAGGGATAGTACCTGGTGCTTGTCAAGAGTGATTGTCAGAGTTGCCAGAAGGGCTTTCCCTTTTGCTCTACCTTGTTTTTTCTGAGGTTTGAGAGCAGAGTCATCTTTGTGGGGTAAACCAGAACTTGGTCCAAAATGACCTGTTCAGTTTCTTTTAAAATAACAAAATGATGCAAGATTTAGAAGAGAAGACACAGGAGATCCTGCTTTCATGCAGTTTGGGCCACAAATTCAGCCTAAGCTCTCAGTGACCCAGTGTGTCCATATTTTGATGTGGTAGCAGAAAGCAGCTGTGTGGGTGAAAATGATCCAGGTGCTGCTGTCCAGGGCTGGTGGCTGCAGTGGCACTGCTTGCAGCAGGAAGTTGCAGCTTTCCATAATTAGGGACTAGAAACAGCCTCACTGTCCATATTACCTGTGCTGGAGTGTCCTCTCACTCAGCACCCTCTGCCTCCTCCAAAAATACATCCAAAACCCAGAGATTTGGCTTTGAGAGTTGTAGTAATGAGCACAAATAACTCCGGTGATCAGCACTTGTGTCTGTGGGATCTGTCGTTTTGCAGAGCTGCAGGACTGAGGAAGGACACCACATGTTCATCCCTCACAGCTTCCAGGTCAACTGCATGCACTTCTCTCCCTGCAACCCTGCTCACTTGCTGTCCCTCAGCAATGACACTCTGCGCTGTGGCGATGTCACCAGGGCTGTCTTTGATGAGGTGAGGCACTGCTGGGACCAAGTCATTATTTCTTGTTGTTTTATTAACGAGAAAGTTCAAGTTCTGTTTCCACAAGGACATGTGAATCAAACTTTAGTTAACATCTCATAAATAGGGAGCAGTTTCCTACTCACCAAAACCCAGTGACAGCCTGGGTGCTCCCAGTTTGCAAGTTTACATTTCTGCACGTGATTAAAAGTTTCTGGAGCGCTGGAGAAGGGAAAGATATCCTTAATCCTTGCTGAGTGTGTGCTCAAGGCCAACAGCCCTATGATTGCTGGAACACAGAGGTGACAGTGCCTTGTAGGAGCTCTGTCAGGGAATTTGGAGTGTGCAGCTGCTGGTCTGGTTTGGATGGTTAATTATCTCCTAATTATTTCCCCCGTGGAAAGCATCCCTGTTTCACAGGTTACCTGCGTGGCTGGGTGAGGCTGTTGCATGGGCTGCGTGGTTTTTAGTGAATTCAGAAGGGAGAGGATGAAACCACAGCCCAGGGAGTGTTGGGGTGTTAGAGGAACTGGCTATTTCCTTTAGTCCTGGTGACATTTGACCTTCCCTGTGCTCAGATCTGCAGGAGTGAGGAGAGCTTCTCGTGCTTCGACTTCCTGGAAGAGCACGCCTGCAGTGCCCTAGTGAGCCACTGGGGCGGGGTGGTGGCCGTGGTGGACACCCGCACCCCGGGGGCATCCGCGGAGCTCTCTGCGGACATCGGCTTCGGCAGGACACGGACAGTCCACGTGCACCCCGTCAACAAACACTATTTCCTGGCTGCTGGCTTGCTGTACGTAGCCCAGACTGAGCTGCTCGTTTTCTCATGGTCTCTGTGCTGGGGAGAGATGGGGCTCAGGAGTTTCTCAGCCTGGGTGCAGAGTCAAAGCTGTCTGAGTGCTTTTAGAAAACAGGTTTTCAGTCCTTAGCAGGACTCATGGTGGGATTTGGTTTGATTTCCCAAGCCACGTGGGGACAGATGGGCCCTGGTGGGCTTTGGCACAGAGGGACTTCATGGAGGGCTGGTTTGGGGTGGTCTTGGTGCTCCCCAGATCCCTCAGAGCCACCCTTTGAGTGGCTATTGAAGCTCTGAAGCAGCTCCCACACAGCCTGCCCTGCTCTGGAGCATTTCTGGTGGATGAAGGATAATTACTGCAGTGTGTGTGGTACCTGTTGCAGGGACGTTTGTGTTTTCGATGTTCGGTACCTGAAGGCCAAGGGGAACAAGCCCCTGAGCTCTCTCCCAGGACACACCAAAAGCGTGGCCTCGGCCTATTTCTCACCTGTCACTGGGAGCAGGGTGGTCACGGTGTGTGCTGATGACAAACTGAGGTAAGGCTGTGGCAGGAAGAATCCTCATGGAAAATACTGACCGGGCAGTTTATCCATTATATTATTATTATTATTATTATTATTATTATTATTATTATTATTATTACCTCTCCACATGTCTCATCATTGAGAACCTTCCGTCTTTATACTTAAAAAAAATGATAAAATATTTACTTGCACACACATTTTTAATGTAGTTTTTAATGGTTTTTTTTTGTTTGGTTGTTTTTTCCCTCATTTTGCCTCGGGATATTTATCAGTATAATCCACATGTACTGTTGATCTTTAAAAAACAATCAAAGAAAATCAAAACCCACAAAAACAGCCAGCCAAAGCCTGGCTGGTGAACACACACACAAAATGCTCAGAAACAAAGTATGTTTGTAGCTGGTACTTGAAATAAGGATGGTATCAGCTCTTGTGTAAATAGCCTGCTTGTGTTAGAGGTTCTTTTTCTCCTGGTTATTTTGTGACCATAATTTAGGTAATTACCTGATTCTGTGTGGGCTGGGCAGGTTTTGCCCCAGGGGGAGGCATCCCCCAAGGTCCCGGGGGTGAAGGAGCAGGGGGGACGGCCCTGGGGCTGTGCAGCCCCTCCTGGGCAGGCTGCAGCTCCAGCTGGGATCTGCTCCGTGTACCCCGCACTCCCGGGGGATGCTCCGTCAGGGAGGGGCTGGATTTGTGGGACAGGTTCATGGTGTTAATGTGCTCTTCTGTGCCCAGGGTCTACGACACCACATCCCTGTCACCCACTGCCAAACTGCTCAGCTCCATCAGGTAAGGACAGCACACCTGGGCCAAGGACTGTGGCTGCTCCTGTGGGTCTGGAGGGATGGGACACAGGGAATAGCTTCCCACTGCTGGACAGCAGGGATAGATGGGCTTTGGGGAAGGAATTGTTCCCTGGCAGGGTGGGCAGGCCCTGGCACAGGTGCCCAGAGCAGCTGGGGCTGCCCCTGGATCCCTGGAATGTCCCAGGCCAGGCTGGACAGGGCTTGGAGCAGCCTGGGACAGTGGGAGGTGACCCTGCCATGGCAGGGGTGGCACTGGCTGTTCCCTAAGGTCTCTCTCAACCCAAACCATTCTGGTATTCTTGTCCCATGCTGCCCATCCCAGGGCTGCACTGCGGGGATCTGATCTCCAGCGTGGATGCTGAAGGTTCAGAAGGCAGGGGAGCAGATGGGACATAAATGACGGTTTGTTCACGAGGAGGAAATGTTCCTCTTCCCTGCAGACACAACAACAACACGGGCCGCTGGCTGACCCGCTTCAGGGCCATCTGGGACCCCAAGCAGGAGCACTGCTTCCTGGTGGGCAGCATGGCACAGCCCAGGCAGATCCAGGTCTTCCAGGACACCGGGAAATTGCTGCACTCCTTCTGCAACGTGGACTGCCTCGCCTCCGTGTGCTCCATCAACGTCGTGCACCCCAGCCAGAACATCCTGGTGGGAGGCAACTCCAGCGGCCGCCTTCACGTCTTCAAATAGAAGTGCCTTCGATCTTCATTCCTCACCTTTCTGCATTGACTTTGTTCATTCCATATTCAGCAGTTCCCAAGCTGACTGTTGTTTCTCAGGACAGAAATGTACTTTGAAGGTCTTAAAATAAATTGTTTAAACTGCCTTTGGTACCTGGGTCTTCCATGGAAATAGAAGTGATCCTTGAGCCCCCCAGCCCCCTCCCCAGCTCTGCTCCCTTCCCTGGATAAGCTCCAGCCCCTCAGTGCCTTCCTTGTGGTGAGGGGCCCAAAACTCCCAGGTGCAATTTGTGAAATTGTGCTCCTGGAGTGCAGAGACACGCGAGGGACTCACCTGCATCTCTGGAGCTCTCCCTCCAGGGAGAAGCTGCTAAAAGACCAAATTTCTCAGGGTTTGAGCTGTTTTCACTTGAGTAAACAAAAATCAGAATCACTGAACAAAGCTCATCCCGACTCTGCTTTTCATGATATTTAAATATTTATTTAAATTTAAAAATACTTTTCATGGCACCAATGATTTTATGCTAACTAAGGTATTGGATATGTAGAAAAAGGTACATTTTGAAGGAAAAAAAGATGTAACTTACAGTATTTGGCACATGAAAGGTTAATCTCTAGGTTTTCTTTATGAAAACTAAGAAATTCACATTTTCAGGTATTTTACTGTCTACTGCTGAAAGATGCAGTATGCTAGGACGAGATTCATGGGTTTCTGATCTCAGAACCTACAGAAACAACATTTTGATAGAAAGACGGGTAAAACTAACAGGGCCTGAAACACACGGCAGGATCTGGGACAGACGGGAGAAACGTACAGGGGAAAATCACCAATTCTTGTGGTTCTGCAGTAAAACGCTGGGTGACAACGGCAGAGGTGACCTGGGGCTGGCACAGAGCGTTACCCGAGGAAAGCCAAGGTGGAAGGTCCCGGCTGGGGGCTCGGAGGATGTTCCCAAGGGATGGAGCTGTGCTGTCACACGTCACACAGAACATTGCAGTGAGGAGAGGAGGAGGAGGAGGAGGAGGAGGAGGAAGCAGGACGACACTGCAGCGTTAACCCAGGGGTAAAAAATGTCAGCGTCGGGACAAGCACAACTGCATAGAAACATCAGCGCTATGGGCTGAGGTAGGAACACTACACTAAGAGTTAATTTCGCTATGTTGCATAAAACAGGATTATCATGTAAAAAAAATCTCTCCTCCGCCTCCTGGAGCCTTCCTGGAGGGTTCCTGGAAACTTTCCGGAGAGTTCCTGGATCCTCCCCGGAGGGTTCCTGGATCCTTCCCTGAGGGTTCCTGGATCCTCCCTGGAGAGTTCCTGGAAACTTCCTGGAGAGTTCCTGGATCCTTCCCCGAGGGTTCCTGGATCCTTCCTGGAGAGTTCCTGGATCCTTCCTGGAGAGTTCCTGGAAACTTCCTGGAGAGTTCCTGGATCCTTCCTGGAGAGTTCCTGGATCCTCCCCGGAGGGTTCCTGGATCCTTCCCCGAGGGTTCCTGGATCTTCCCTGGAGAGTTCCTGGAAACTTCCTGGAGGGTTCCTGGATCCTCCCTGGAGGGTTCCTGGATCCTTCCCCGAGGGTTCCTGGACCCTTCCCCGAGGGTTCCTGGACCCTTCCCCGAGGGTTCCTGGACCCTTCCCCGAGGGTTCCTGCCTTGCTCTGGAGCCAGGGCTGGGCCCCAGCCCCTCCTCGGGCCTCGTGCTGTGATCAGGCCATGCCCTGGCCAGGGGGACTGTGTCCCCCGACGGGACCTCTCCCCTTATTGCAGTGACAAGAGCCCGTGTGGCCCTTGGTCACCGGTGGGTGGTGGATGCTCAGAGACAACACGGACATCAGGCTTTGTAAAACTGCAGTTATGGCCCCAGCTTACGGAAAAATCTCTCCCTGAGATGAAATTAAACTTGCTCAACTGTGTTTACCCTTTTTTTGTTTGGTTTATTTTTTTCTTTTCTTTTTTTTTTTTTTATTTTTTTTTCTGATATGTCCAACTTGTCACCCCAACCTGCCCAGAACTGGCTGTTATTGCTCCCTGTGGATGGGCTGCTGCTCCTGGTGACCAGCGGTGCCGTGACTTGGGTTTAGTGACTTGCACTCAACGACACTCGGGGCTAAAGGTGGCCCTTGGCTTCTTCAGTGTCACCTGCGCTTCTGAACTTGTGTCCTCCGGGGAACAGTCCCAAAACCAGAGCTCCTTCTCTGTCCCAAACCCAGCAGGGCTCGGCTGGCGTTGGGCTCCCGGCGTTTTCTCTTAAACCATTACTGGGAGCCGCTCGGTACCGGCACCCACGGTCACCCCATCCGTAAAGTAAAAAAAGACTGGATTAGATTTGATAACAAAATAGCATTTCCTTGTTAAAATAGACCTTGAAATGTCTCTTTTTT